AAGGTCCCAGCAAAAAAAAAAAAAAAAAAAAAAAAAAAAAAAAAAAAAAAAACTGAAAAAAAACTATGTTATGCAGAAAAATAAACTGAACAAGTTTTGCCTCAGGGTCACATCGAAATTCTTCACCAAATTAAAAAATATATATATCCCTCGTTTGTTGTCCTGTTCTCTCTCTCTGCCTACGGTTTACCGGGCAGTTCTATTTGTGACGATATATATATATTTTATTTATTTATTTATTTTTTAATTATTTTGGCCCGGCCGGGCAAATGACCCCGGGCCACTCTGGTAGCCTAGCATTTGACCCATTTTTGTGCCCAACCGGAATTCCGGTTGGACCACCGGGAGTCCAACCGGCCGGTTGCCGGCACAGCCCTGATTCAGAGACCTTCAGACACCACATGTCTAGAAAAAAAAGTGAATACTGAAAAGTTATGGAACTTGGACTCTTGGAAATAACAAAAGGAAGGAGAAATCGCAAAAGGTTGTGTGGGTTGAGGCCCCTTGAGGGGTCAACTTTCGAAATTCCCAACCAACTGCCGCTTCAGAAATGAGTGGGAAAACGCCAGTCCCCGAAGAAAAAAATTGGAGGCCGGGCCCGACGACGGCTGCCATTGATAAATCTAATCGGCGGCCGACATTGCCTTTCGGCCTCCTGAAAGGTCGGAGGCCCGCTATTTTTTTTTCGGAACCAACAAAGGTGCTAGTGGTTAAAAAAAATTGGAATGATATACAGACTTGAGTTTGAAGTTTGAACTCCAATAGAAGCAGATGAGTAAAATACTGCAATTCTGAATTACCTAGGGGCGGTCAGTTGAAATGATGAAGCCTCAAGGCCGTTGCCTTGAAAAAAAAAAAGAAAAAAAAAAAAGGAGCAAGAGAGAGAAGATTAGCATGCTTAAAAACAAAAGAAGAAGAAGAAGAATAGCATGGCCCCTACACAAAGACAACACACATAAATCGAGATATGGTCCAAATTTTAAAATTAAAAAAAAAAAAAAAAAGTCCCAACCCAGTTAGAAGGGGGGTGCATGGAAAATACAAACAATCAAACAAAGCGAACCAGACAGTCCCAATTCTCTGTGTATCCTGATTGATCTCATGCCTGGGTCCGCCATAAGCCATGCTTAACAGTACTCGTCAGAGATTCAAAAGGTTTTCTTTTTATTTTTCTCTGTGTATCGTTCCAATTTTAACGGATGTCTCAAAGGACAGAGATTCAAAACTTTAGCCTGTGTTATTCAGCAAAAAAAAATCCATTACCCGAAACCCCATCAACCACTTGTGCGGCGTCGGGTAGAAAATTTGAAATTTGCTCATGACACCAAAGACTGGTATGCGATTTACAATTTGCTCATTCCTTGAGAGAGGTTCATGCACTGCAGAGAAGCGAAGTCGAGAGCAGCTCACCCCTTTCCAGGTTTGTTTATTTGTCCCTTTGGTGGCCCCGTTTAGGAACCACTTGGATCTCAAGGCCCCCTCCCTGCAAGGGAGAACGAATGAGCAAAAGCAGAAAATCCATCCAGTGAGAAATGGGAAAAGTAGTTACCCCCAGGATGTTCATCTGCACCATTTTCAACAGCCTTCCGCAAATCCCCAACATTCCACGGCGTGACATACTGCAGCACGACCATTGCACATTAACGATTTCAGAAATGCATCAACCGACAAAACATACAAGACAAAGTAAGTAATCAAGGAAGATCATAGGACAATTATGAGCTATTTTCTCCATAGCAGGAGCGGACATGTCTGGTCTGCTTTGTCTGCATCCGGACTGTGGATAGGATGTCTGCCGGAAATGAAGGTTAAAAAAAAAAAAAAAAAAAAAGAAGTGAAAAAAAAGGTCCTCGTTCCCCTATTCCTCTCCATTCCCACCTCTCCTTTGAGAAAAACACCTCTGGCTGCCCGCTAACCCCCCCTTCCTTCCATGACCCATCCCAGGGCCCCAGAACCCGCCACTCCCTGTCGTCACCCTTCCATCTCAGGACCCGAAACGGGCATGTTCGTCTTCCGCAGACCTTTTTCGGATTGTCATAACAGCCCCTACCAGATGCCTTCTCACGCCCATCCCCCTGCCCTGTGACCCCTCCGCACCCCCCCCCCCATCGCAAGCAAAATTCAATAAGTGAGCCTCTCGACAAAATCATACTCAGCCTAGCAAAGCACATAACACTGCATCTGATAACTTTCTGGAATCAGGACTGGCCCATTTCGAGCAGGCGTTCGGATCAGACTTTTTTTAAGTTTTTTTTTTTCTTTTTCAAGTAATCAGATTTTGCTTTCATGGGAGGAGATGGTAGGAAGGGTCAGGACTGGCCCGTTCAGAGCAGCCATTCAGTATGATTCAGATCAGACCTTTTTTAAGGGTTTTTTTTTTTTTTTTTTCAAGTAATCAGATTAGATTAGAGATCGTCAGGCACTTCTGACTCACAATTTGCAAAATAGAGTCCACATATAATATAGATGATCAGACAAGTAATAGTGAAGCACTGTTGCAAAAGGGATTCTGTATGTGGAAGCTGTGAACTGGGTGTTTGGTGAATTTGAAGGCATTTTACATGGTACCTAGCGAGAGGTCCAGGGATCAAGCCTACCTTCTTCCCCCGAATCGAACGTATGGTAATTATGCCTGATTTTCAGTCTAGATACAACCATAATGACCATATATATAAAGTCAAACAGAGCTGCCCGGTAAACCGTAGGCAGAGAGGGAGAAGAGGACAACAAACAAGGCGCTGTGACAAACTGTTTCGTCGGAGTATATATCGTCAAACAGAGCTGCCCGGTAAACCGTAGGCAGAGAGGGAGTATGTTGTATTCTGGTGAAGAAGGTAGGGATACCCTCAAGGAGATCCAGGGAGATGCAGAAAGAGGTCAAGGGATCAAGCCCACGCCTGAACCGTAACAGAGAAAGGGATTCTATGGGCGAACAGTCGCGAACTGGGTGTGTGGAGAGCTTTAATGGATTCTGTTGGGTACCCAGCAAGAGGTCCAGAGATCGAGTCCTCCTCAGAACCGTAACACAAACGAGGATTTTGCATGCAAACTGCGTGTGTGGAGAACTCTCCGCAAGGCTGATGCTGAGCTGGCACAACTTAACTCACCTCAGGGAAGGTTAGCTTCTTAGCAAAAACCGGCGGAACGCCAATCTCGTTCACGCTGTTATCAACAGCGCCAGGAGCAACACAACAGAAACAACAGAAAAACCTACACCTTAAAAAAAACAGTGCCTCGAGCTGCAAAGAACCACAAAGCAGAACACACTCTCACAAAGACCTAACATTTTTTTTTCTTTGTTTTTGCTTTTTCGCAGGTGTAGCATTGTTGCACCCCCCGACGATCGGCGGCCCTTGACTGGTCGGCACCTACCGGTCGGGGGTCGTCAGCACCCAGCAAAAAAAATAATAATAATAAAAATAAAAAATTGAGGGTCCAGAACGCCCAATAACACATCCAACACCCCCATAGCGTGACCTAATACCCCCATACACCCCCCCAAACCGCCCCCAAACCG